ATGATGTCTTCCCCCCTCCTTTGTTCTCTTCCACCCCTTTATATATCTTTTGCATAAGGTGGGAACCCTTTGTCCCTCTGGGTTTCCACCCCCCCTCACTGGAAAAGCACCAGGTTAAAGATGGATTCCAGATCAGGTGACATGATCACATGTCACTGCAAGACTTCATTGCCCACTTGCCAGCACACACATATACAGGAAGACTCACAGGTAAACACAGCTATCTGCAGACAATGGTCCTTGTTAATGGGAGTCATCAAGATTCCAAACCATCATTAATGGCCCACACTTTACATAATTACAATAGGCCCTCAGAGTTATATTTCATATTTCTAGTTTTAGATACAAGAGTGGTACATTTATACAAATCAGATGATCATACTCAGTAGATTATAAGATTTGTAATGATACCTTACAAGAGACCTTTTGCATGAAGCATATCCCAGTTACGTTATATTCACTTATTACCATATTTTTTCTAAAACTATCCCAGTTACATTATATTCACTTATTATCATGTTTTTATAAAACCATATAGACTGCACGACATCACACTAGCAAATGTGATTTTTGCATAACCTGAAATTATAGTCTTAATTCTAAAAACAACCCTGTTAAGAATTAGCACTATAAATGAATGAGTGTTTGTTGACCTAGAGTTTACAGCCCCTAGGTACTACTGTAATAAAAATCAACAACAACAACAACAACAGTATTAATGATACCTGGAAGGATACTAGGACAAATTGTTAACCAACCAATTTGTAAGCACCTAGAGGATAATAGGGTTATAAGGAGTAGCCAGCATGGATTTGTAAAGAATAAATCATGCCAAACCAACCTAATTTCCTTCTTCATCAGGGTTACTGGCCTAGTGGATGAGGGGAGGGGGGAAGCAGTAGATCTGATATATCTTGATTTTAGTAAGGCTTTGGACACAGTCCCACATGACATTCTCACAGGCACACTAGGGAAATGTGGTTTAGAGACATTACTATAAGGTGGTGCGCAACTCGTTCAAAGATCCTACTCAAAGAGTAGCTCTCGATTGTTCACTTCAAACTAGGAGTGCGTATGTGGTGGGGTCTTGCAGGGGTCAGTCCTGGGTCCAGCACTAGTCAATATTTTAATTAATGACTCAGATAATGGAGTATGCCTATAAAATTTGCAGATGACATCAAGCTGGAAGACTTGTGTCTTCCAAAATGTATAATTCCACATGTCTTTGACAAATTGGAGAGTTGGTCTGAAATCAACAAGATGAAATTCAATAAAGACAAGTGCAAAGTACTACACTCAGGAAGGAAAAATCAAATGCACAACTACAAAACTGGGAATAAGTGGCTAGGCAGTAGTATGGCAGAAAATGATCTGGGAGCTATAGTAGATCACAGATTGAAGAGGACTCAACAATGTGTTGCAGTTGCAGAAAGGGCTAATATCATTATGGGTGTATTAACAGGAGGGGTGACCTGATAACAAGCTTCAAATACAGTAAGGGTTGTTGTAAAGAGGACGGTGATCAACTGTTTTCCATGTTTACTGAAGGTAAGACAAGAAGTAATGAGCCTACTATGAAGCAAGGGAGACTTAGGTTAGATTTTAGGAAAAATTTCTAACTCTAGGGGTGGTTAAGTTCCAGAATAGGCTCCCAAGGGAGATTGTGGAATGTCCATTGTTGGAGGTTTTTAAAACTAGGTTGGACAAACACCTGGTCTAGGTTTACTTGGTCCTGTCTCAGCGCAGAGATCTGGACTTGATGACGTCTCAATATCCCTTCCTGCCTGACATTCTATGATTCAATAACAACAACTATTTCTCCATGATAACATTATTGGGGCATATTCACCCAGGGTCTAGGTCGCCTTCCACCAGTACTGATCCTGGCAGAGGGGGGTTTGTGGAGGTGGAAAGTGCTATAACTTCCCTTCCTCTTAGACCTGAGGGACCTAGCACTGAACAAACACTGGCTGCAGAGGGGGCTTAGCTAAGGATGTCAGGGATGTACCGATTTAGCCCATGCCCTCAGCAGCCGTGGGGTTCTTATGCAGCTCCAGGTAGAAGTTAAAAGCTGTTTTTGGAAACCTCAAGGAGAGTAGCCAATGGGGCTGCTGCCTGCCCTCCTTCAGGCAAATCCCCCATGGGACATAGCAGGCCATGCCAGCAGAGGGAGGCACATTCTTCCTTATTGCAACCCTGTCCTTTTTTCGTTTTCTGATCTTTTAACCGTGACACAGCAAGAGACAATGCTGTTACTCTAAACATAAGAGGAATAATTACATCCTAGCTAGATCATGCAGTAAATCTGTAAAGCCATAAACGTATATGCGTATGTGAGTGTGAGAGAGAACCAGTTTCATATCTCCACTCTCCTACAGTTTTTGGTAGGTCGGTGGCACTGATTTTCCTCCTTCTCCATTGCTTCCTGGCTGACTGCTCACGCAGCCTGTCAATAGAGATAGCCATCCACACTCCAGAGTGAGAATCTCTGATATGAGAGCCACAGAACAGGGATCTTCTTAGGTGGCCTCCTCCAAACAAGCACCCTACTCCAAAACTCCATCCCTGTCCTTTTGCCTAGAAAGAAAGTTTGCCATTTTAGTGCCACTAAATGTGTTTGTGATTATTTATTTCCCCCCTGCTTTTAGCACAGAGGGGATGACTCACTGAGGCTAGCCAGTCCGTCCCCAATTGCTTGTAAATCAAGATCTGATCAGGAAGTGATATATTCATCTCTAACTCCTGCATAAAAGTTATTCAAGTATTTTGACAAAATAAGTGCTGTTTACTTTATACATTTTCTGCTAATTGTAAAGATTTCTGCAAACCTAAAGGATCTCATGGAATTTACGGGATTGTGGTTTAGCTATTGAAAGTAGAAAGGCATGCTAAATTAAGTTGATTTGCCTGTGAAAGGAACGCGTCCATTATTCATGTCAGGGCCCTGTCACATCAAATTGAGAGAGTGAAGAAAACCCTTTTTTATCAAAGTTTAGAAGCAAGGAAAAAAACCAACCATTGAGGGACTGAATTTCAATTGGGAGAAAGTCACTCTGAAAGCAGGGTTAAAAAAAAAAAAAAGTTGGGGACTTGTCTAATGTTGAAAATCAGCAAAGGGTAGATTGATTTAACTTTGGCTGGAACTTCTTATATAGAAAGCCAGAATGAAACTTCTTAAAGCAGCGAGTAGCACACATAATCTTGGTGTCTCTCATGTGTAAACTTGTCAAAAGTAGTTAAGCTGATTCAGCTTTAAATCTTTCTGGATTGCTTTTTTCCTGAACATTTTAAAAATAAATTAAAAATAAAACGTTAAACAGATAGCACAATACATTTCCCCAGGATTAATAGTTTTTAGACATTAATTGGTTTATGTCATTTGCTATGTATGTATTTCACAACAAATTCTAAGCACAAAATTCCAGAGAAAGAAAATGTTAAAAAGCAAGGGTTTTTTTAGTTGTGGCTGATGTGTAAAACGTGATGTGCAAATTTTAGTGTCTTCCAATGACAAATAATGGGCTAACGAGGGATTGATAGGACAAATCACACACACAGGATTGTCCCCTGTATATTTTAAGATACTCCATTATTTATTACTCCATTTAGCCAGCAAAATCTTGCATGGTTTTTATAAAGGAGCAGTTGTGTATTCATAAGATATATGTATGTGTGTGCACACAGATGACACACACCACACTATTTTTCACACATAAAAGTAAATGTCAAGATCTACGCGGCTGTTTTGCTATATACATAGAGTGTAATATGAAGTTTGTAGTTGTGGGATTTGTGTTATATATTAAAATGGTTTTTGCTGCCTGACTGTTTATAATTTCTAGTGTAACCCATTTATTTTTAAAAGCTAACAGAACCTTTGACTGTTTTCACAAGAACTGTGTGTGAAGTGAACAGAACATACATTTGTTTTATATTGAAAACCTAAAAGCTGTTCTTAAAAAGGAGCTCTGTTACGTCTCTGACACTATTGTACTGTACAAACGGTAACTCGTCAACTTGTCTGCCAGGCCTGCATATAACTCAGGATATTGTTTTTTCTCCATGGTCACATGTTCTTGTTTTTCCCAAATCAGAGCCTTTATGTTAATGTGTTTTCTGCTTGAAACCTCTTATTTTAAAGATGCTTTTACCAGATAAGCCAAGCCGACACTCTCACGTGCGTCCTAACTTCAAAGTCCGAAGCTGGGTAGGAGAATCCAAGTCCCAAGTGTTGGATGCTGGTGAGCCTGTGGATTCTGTAGGACCCACGGCTAAAGTTAAGTTCTTGTGTGTAACTGAAAATTGCAGCCAGCATAAATAGGAGTTAGTTTGTGGCATTCTGACCACAAAGGGAATTACTTCTTGGAGTGGCTGCATCCTGGTAAATAGAAGCAGGGAAAGGGGGAAATAGAGAAGCATTGTACTGTGGAGGTAGCACCAAGACAAGGATTAATGGCCAGGGGAATTGTATTTTGTGTGCTTTCAGCAACATTACAATCTCCCCAAAGTGAGTGTTACTAATAAAGGGGCCAGTAGAGAGGGGTCAGTGTGTCAAGGGAAATGGAAAATCAGGCTCTGTCAAAGGCAGAGATTTTTATTCTGTAAAGAATCAGCAAATTGCTTTGGTTTTTTTAATTTTTAGTACTTCAAATTTGGATGAATTAAAAGAACTCTGTTCCCTTTTAGAGGGGACGAATAACAAGAAATGGTATAGGCAGGACACAGGAAATGATATAGACAGGATACATGACTGCCATTCTCTGGCAACGTATGTTGTGTCCACATACCCCAACACATACATTATTTTACACCGGGCAAACAATAATGGGAAACGTGGTCAGTGTTGCATTGGTGACATATTAGGTACACACAGAATCAGATTAACTCTGTGGTATTGGGACTCAGGCAGGCCCCCAATGGAGCAGAACCACACGGGGTGGATGGTTGCAAAATGGCAGGCACAGGGACCGCCCCCCTCCTGCCCACAGAGGACCACCACAGGACGGGGATCTCCACCAGCTGTGCATAGCCCAATCGGGAGAAGTGGTTTAGGATCAACAATTATGCACAGGGAGTGGTTGGGTTCTAGACATAGTATTTACCATGGTATTATCGCAGTAAATAGTAATACTGCAGCACCTGGGAGCCAGAGCACCCCATCGTGCTAGATCCTGGACAATCTAAGTGGTCCTCAGAGAGGGACAGGGGAGCTCCAGTGGGCTGGATTGACTTCTCCCATGCCTGACACAAAGCCTGTTGTTTACTTAGACTTTGTCCCAGGGTGCTGGGTGCTGGTGAAAGTTAGTTTCACCATTAATAAGCTAGGATTGGCAATGTCAGTTGCCCAACATTCACCTTCTTCTTTGTTTGCGCCCCACAACGCTATCTCTTGATTGGCCCACAGACCCTAACGCACCGACCAGAGTCTTGTCAAAGCACGCACGGCACTATACCTTTCCCCGACAAGCACGACTCAGTGCTGAGGCTACCCCTCTCCATTACTCAAACCGTTGTGTTCTGATATTATAGGATTGATATTCTCACAAGCTCACAAAATGTTGTCAGACCTTTGCAATACCCAAAGACACAACAAGGCTGTGTTAAGAACAGAATGATCTGATCTCTGAATTTTCTTGCAGGATGGATGACTAAGGGGATCAGCACTGGGATGCACAGCCTTCCTCCTCTAGATCATCAGTTCAAACCCAGCCCAGGCTGGGAGTGACCAGAAGGCATTACCAGCTGAAGGCTGTTTTCTGAACCTGTATGTAAAAGCGTTGGTAGCATCAGGCCCGTTGCAGGTGGATGTTATGTGACAATCTTCCACCAGTGGTATACATCAGCAGTCTCAGCAGAGACACCAAGGACTATCACCTTACCTCCATCAGTGGCCTCCCTAGGTTAGGGTGGAAACAGAGCACTGGCCCAAAAGGTAGACTCAATACCACTTGCTTTATTTTTTCTATGGATAAATGGGGACCCATCCTCCAGGACTGTCCCTTCTAGTACCTTTCACCAATTAGCTTCTTACAGTTTCAAAATAACCCAGACATTGAGACTGCTGAAATCACTTTTGAGCCATTCTAGGTGTAGGAATGATGGTCTAGTGGCTAAGACACTGGACTGGCACTCAAGAGATTTGGATTCAGTTCTGGGTTTTGCCACTTGCTTCCTGTGTGACTGTGGGTGAATCACTTAATCCCTCTGTTTCTCAGTTCATAATACTGACTGTCTCCCACATTTTGCCTTCTCTATTTAGATTGGCCCTGCGCTGATGAGTTTACAATCTCTGGGCATGCATATGTGCAATGCTAGCACAATTGGCCCCATTCTTGACTAAGATCTCCAGGTACTACTCTGTGATACAAATTATTATTAAAAATATCAAACAAAGAGATACTGTCCTTGTTCAAAAAGCAGTGTGAATTTAAGCAATACTGGGGGGCTGTTGAGAGATACTCTATTCCAGGGATTCTCAAACTTTTGTACTGGTGCCCCCTTTCACACAGCAGGCCTCTGAGTGTGACCCCTCCTTATAAATAAAAACCACTTTTTTATATATTTAACACCATTAAAAATGCTGGAGGCAAAGCGGGGTTTGGGGTGGAGGCTGACATCTTGCGACCCCCCACATAATAACCTCACGACCCCCTGAGGGGTCCCGACCCCCAGTTTGAGAACCGCTGCTCTATTCTCTCCTGGTCAGACCATTTATATCCTTCACCTTATCACAATTATAACTCCAGCTGTGGAAACTCCAAAATAATGGGGTAGAGACATTAACATACAACAGAGGACTGTGTCCCTATCACATCATCTGTTGATTTTGTTGTTGTTGAATTATTCATAATATAGCAACTTTAGAATTTATTTTTAATTGTAACTATTGAAACCAGAGTCTAAAATCTTGTGGAGTTATAATTAAGTGAGCATATTAATACACGTTGTTTGCAGTGCTGTAGCAGCCCTCTTGGTCCCAGGATATTAGAGAGACAAGGTAATATCTTTTATTGGTCCAACTTCATTGGTGAAGGAGACAAGCTTTTGAGCTGACGCAGTGTTGTTCTTCAGGTCTGGGAAAGGTCGGAGTGTCACAGCTAAATACAAGGAGGAACAGGTTGTTAAGCGTAAGAAATTAACGCATGTTGCAAGAGACCATTCAAGGTGAAGTGGGCAGCTAACACCTCTGCAGTCGCAGGACAAAGGCGAGTTAGTGGGTTATAGATTTTTGAATGAGCCATAAATCCAGTCTCTTTATTGAATCCATGATTTTTAGTGTCTAGCAAAGTTATGAATTTAAGCTCCCAGCCTTGTCTCTTGTCTCTGTCACCAGAAGTTGGCCCAATAAAAGATATTACCTCATCCACCTTGTCTCTCTAATATTAATACATGTCATAGAATTGGAGGAAAATGTAACAGAATTAAATAAAATGCACCCTGTAACACTTACTTGCATTTGAGATAAACCTATTGTTAATTGATCAAAAACAGAAAATATAAATGCTAAGAGCATTGCTACGAACAAATGAATCATCTTTTTGAAAATGGAGAACTCACACGATGGTATCCATTTCTGAATGAGTCACAGGCTGTAACAATTTACAGCTCTAGAAAAAGTCTATTCTTTGATTCAACGGTCTCCATCTCAAAGCATCAAAGCTGATCAGAAACCGGGGTCAAAAAAAAAATGGCAAAACGTCAGAAAATTGCCATTTTTTGTTTACGTTCTCCAACCAGTCAGTTTTACTAAGGATACATAATATCCCCTCTCTTTTCTCTTTTAGTCCTCACTCTTGGGCTCTGCTATTTGTACGTAGTTGAACTTTTCTGTATTTCACTATGATTTTTTTTTTACCATTGTAAGAGGTAATGCTATTCTACGTGTATAATTACACGTCACTTCTCATTTATATATAGCACACTGTAGTGCTTTTTTAATAGTATCAAACTTAAGTTACAAATAGAAAATACTTAACTTGAGACATTCTCCATTATTATTCATCTCACCGTACACACTCAGAAACTTTGCACATTTATAACTCAGTGTCGCCTCTGCACCATACCACTTGAAGATATGTGAGTTCATTTAAATGCTCATCTGCTTTTTTCTCCTCAGAAGTTGGGCTGTTTTTACGCCTGATGGTTATAATGAATTAAATATTTTGAACTCATCCATCAGATGTGGAAATGATCCCTGAATTGATGAGAGTGTTTAACAGTTAATTGAACATTTCTATTGTGAACTTCCATTGTTCTAAAGTGCAGTGGACAAAGAAAAGAGGATCAGGGAAACATTCTCTCACACCACAAGTATTTCTATCCTCTAGAGAGCTGTGAGAATTTAAATAACTGAGGGCATCTTGCTGTGTTAGTTTTTGGATATTGAAAAGTACTCCCATGATCTGAAAAATACTTTCACAGGATGTATGAGCTCTCTCTGCAAAAGAAAATCGATAAAGCATTTTCAGGGGCCGTATTGTGTTCATGTCCATCTTTTACATATATATTGGCTTTCCTAGACTTCTAATCCAGCTAAACTCACTTCTGTACCCAGTGCTTACACGTGTATATGCCACAACAGCCGTCTCACAACTCTCTTCCTGAGTCCTGCAGACAGTGCTTTATTTAGTTTGTCCTGTTATTGACTGGTCTGATGGGTGCCTATATAGCCACAGCATGCAAACCGTTAGCCGCCAAACTGGGATTTGCAAAGGGGCTAAGGAAGTTAAGCACTCAGATGCCATTGAATTGCATTGTGATTTGTCAACCTAATTCCCTTAGAGGCCATTGAAAATTCCTGCCTGGCAGCCTAACGCAGGGAAAGGATGAAAGAAACCAGACTGGAATGTTTCACCTGGAGGTTCCTCTGAGAGTCTTCAGGATCTTTCCCTGACTTTTACAATCTCATCTTGTAGGGCTTGTACCCCATCTGGGCACATCAGACTCCTTGGATCAAGCAATGGCAATTTGCTTTCAATCTGAGATTGTAGCTTTACCACTTTTATGCCCATAGTCCTGTTCCCTCCACTGGCCCTTAAACGTCTTTTTCTTCTTTTCTCTGTCCAAGATCCACGAGACATCATACAGTCCCTTAAGAAATTGACCTGCTCCCTTGAACCTTTTCCTTCTCCTGTGCTAAATCTTGTCTCCTTTCTCTTTTACCTCATATTGCCACCGCTGTTAGGGTTCTCACCTTTCTAATTGCTGGCAGCCAGACCTCCGAGGCCCCACCTCTTACCCTGCCTCTTCCCTCAAGGCCCTGCCCTTGCTTCTCCTCTTCCCCCACGTCCTTCCCCTGTTGCTCACTCCTCTCCCACCACCCCTTTTGCTCGCTGGATCGTCTCCCTCTCCCTCCCCCCACAGCTGGGCTTCCTCTGCTCTGGGGCTGGGACGGGAGCTGCTGCAGCCTGACAAGAACCTGCCCACAGGTAGGAGGTGCCCTGGCTCCAAGGGCTGGCACGGGTTAATGACCCAGTGCCTCCCCCCGCTCCGCGATAACTGGACTTTGGGTGTCCGGTCAGTGCATCTGACCGGACACTGCAAGGTCCCTTTTTTGACCTGACTTTCCAGTCGAAAACTGGGCACTGGACACAGAAGCCAAAAACCTGACTGTCCGGGTAAAATCCAGATGGGTGGCACCCCTAACCGCAGTCCATAGCTCCCCTTGGCCTCTTGCACCTACCCTAGCTATCTGGTTTATGCCACGTCTACGTTCTTCCTAAAACACTCTCCCTGAATTTGACCCTTTGAACTTGAGCCAAGCAGCTCTCATCTCTCCATCCACTTTTCCCAGAGCAGGACCCTGGGCCAGTTACAGTTGGGGGTTTTCCACTGGCCATTACATAGAAACCAGTCTCCTCTGTGTGGTCAACAAGGTTCTTCTTTCTGCTGCTGCTGACCTTACTCCTGTGGACTTCAATTTAGCCTCTGATAACATGCCCCACTCCCTTCTCCTGAACTTCCTGCAGCGCTGTGCTGCTATGCCTGGTTCTTCCTGCCCTACTTGTGCTCAGACCTATCAACCAACACAGCCATCTGGTAGCGATTTTTCCTCTCTGCCAAGATACCACCCCTATGGGGCAAAAGGGTAAGACAGACAATTACCTTTCTCTTTTCAAATGAAAGCTCCAGATGCCATCATCCTTTTAGAGCTTAGGAACCCTGAAGTACTCATCAAGTTTTCATAGGTGACTAAAATGAACTCCGCATCTCCCTGAAGAAATGCAGACAGCAAACATCAATAAAGCTAACAGAATTAATCAAATCTGCAGTTTCTAAAACAAGCCATTTTTGAGACAATAATACTAAAAAAAATAAAAATCAGACTTTCCAAAGGTGAAGCAGCTCTCCTCCCACCCTCCTTCCTAAATGTTATTTCCTGAAGCTTTTGTCCATTTGCCCCCAAACTCTGCAAACATTCTCCTCCATTCCAACCAAGTGCTGTGTCCTCTGTTGGTTTCCTGAGGCCATGTCAACAAACAGGAAGTACAGTATTAGGGTTTATATTTTGGGTATCTGTTTATGGAACCCTGGAGGACAAAGAAAGGAGAAAGACAAAAGTAAAGGCAGTATTAAGTATTTCCAGAATAAGGCATTATGAGTAAACACTGCCCTTTCACAAACAAATCCAGGAGAATGCAGATTCAGGGTTGTCAGATGCAGTGGATAAAATTATACAGAATTTAAGTGGACATAGGGTGACCAGATGTCCCGATTTTATAGGGACAGTCCCAAATTTTGGGTCTTTTTCTTATATAGGCTCCTATTACCCCCCCTCCACTCCTGTCCCGATTTTTCACACTTGCTGTCTGGTCACTCTAAGTGGACATCATTTAAGGAAATAAATCATCTGCCTGTGAGAATTACTTGAAAAAGAATGAAACTAACTGCCCTCTGTCATGACACAGGACCACCCCTGGATGATGGGCATTAGATTGTTTCACGCAACCTATGTGTATGTGCCTCTGTCTGAGTCAGGAATTCACTACAGGACTTTGCAACTGAAATGTCGCATAGGCCTTGCAAGAAAAGCATTTTTGTTTTGTTTTGTTTTTTGAACTCACTACTGACTTCCAACAATCAAGAAACCAATAATTCTATTGAATCAACAGTGAATTCTCTTAAAAGTTCTTCATGAATGTGACCAATGATACCTCATCTGCTGCTATTAAAGGGTTTTTTAAAAAAGGTACCACTGAGCATGGGGAGCTCCCTTTAAAGTACATGCAATTTACAGAGGACCTGATCCTGGGAGAGGCTGTGCACCATCCATTCTTACAAGGCTGAGGATACTCAGTACCTTGTAGAAGGCATTCAGTATCTTGCAGGATCATTGCAAATGACAGGAAGCCCCCCTCCACCCACCATCAAATTTAGCCATGCTGATCGCAGCCTTTGTCTGGTTTTCGTGCAGGTCACAACTAGAGTTGGGTGGGAAGCAATTTTCTCCTCCATCTGTAAATATTTGTAAAAGTTTGGAATTTTTTCCCCATCTTGAATCAGGACAAAGACAAAATCTCAAAAATATTTGCAAACGGAAAAAACAACAACACATTTTAAAAAATTTTTTGGGTCAATA